TTCCTTCCTTCCTTCCTTCCTTCCTTCCTTCCTTCCTTCCTTCCTTCCTTCTTCTTTTTGAGACAGGGTTTCACTATGCAAGCTGGCCTTGAGCTTCCAGCAATCTTTTGACCTTACTCTGCCCAGTGCTGGGGTTACTGCAGGCGTCACCAATCCCAGCCTCCAGCACCATTTCAAATGATCAGTTCCTGTTCCTTTAGGGATTCAGTAAAGTTTCAGGGTCAGTCTCCACATTACTTTGTAACTTTCAAGACTGTGATTGTTGTTCTAGCTCTTATTCCTTTTAAAAATTCATCTTATAAATGAACCTTTATTTTGTTTCAGTTCCGAGATAACATGTAAAGTTTAGAATGTCTCATAGCAGTCCACATTTTCTCCTCTTTTGTTTTTCCTCTACTGTTTTTGCTGTTGTTGTTATTGTTACTTAACAAATGTTTTCAACAAACTAAAATTTCACAATTCTTTCAGGCCAGTCTTATCACACTGTTACATGTGAAAAGCAACATCTCCACTCAGCTCTTTCCCCTCTTTCTCCCAGGGAGCCACAGGCAAATAAATTTGATCTCAAAATGTCATAAAATATAAATGTCCATTTTTTTTTTAATCTGAAGAGCAGAGTTGCTTAATAGATTTTTTTTGTTGTTATTTTTCTCTGGAACAAAGAGTTAGTTGAATGCTCTGTGCTTTGTGATAAATAAAATACATCTTAATTAGTTCTAAAAGGTCAGGCTGTTTTTCTTTCCTTCCTCCTCCATTTGTTCCCAGCTCCTATCTCTTCCCTCTCTCCTCCTCTTGTCCTTCCATCTCTTCTTTTTCTTCTTTCTCCTCTTTTGCCTCCTCATTCATCCTTGAAACATTTTTTGCAATTTTCAGTAGTTGAAACTTAGCAGGGTAAATACACTCGAATATAGAAGTAACTTTTATCTGCCAAAGTAGATGCTTGATCTTAAATTCATATTATCTCACTACCTTTTCATTAGTGAATTGATACGCTAACCAAATGCAAGTGCGATTAGGCCACATGAGCTGTTACAGCATATAAATCCTCGGAGCATTAGAAGTAAAGCTAGTCTAAGATTATTGAGCAATGGAAAACAGGAAGCGTGAAGTACGTGTAAAACAAATTTTCTGAGACCTTCAGTGGCCAGGTCTAAAGCTCTTTTCAGAAGTCTGAAACTCTGAAGTCTGTGTTTGTCACACACGAGAACCACCTGAACTCCATATCTGCAACTGTGGCTTTGTTCTTGTCGCTACCGTTGCCAGGAGAATCAATGCACAAGAAAAAGTGCAGTTTTTGTATAATTTTTTATGAGATGACTTTGGAATTTCCCATAAGTCTGGGTGGCAAGTTTTGCTTGGGATGGAGGGAGATGCCTATCTTTTTAAACATAGTCTTCATCATTAAAAATCCCCGCATCATTGCATTAACTAAAAGGAATATAATAAGTAAAGATCAGATTGAATACTTATATATTTTCATTGTAAACAAATAACCAGATAATGACTCATTTTCCACTTTTAAGAAACAGTGAAAATTCATATTTTACTCTGATAGCAAATTGCAGGATGGCCCCTACTGACTTGATCTGCTGCCTTTAATTAGCTCGGACGGCCTGAGCTGGCGGGACTCAGCCACCAGTGTCCATCAGGCTCATTTTGCCTCCATGAGGAAATGCAGAGTTGGGACCCCTGGGTGCAGCACACTTCCCAGGGCTGGGGATTGGAGAAGCAGCTATAACCTGAAGAGAAGGTCCTCGGTGGCTTTGTGTCTTCTAAGGAGCAATGCAGGGGCTGCTTAGCTCTCTGCCTTTTCCAGTGACAGCTTTGAGGTGATAGGGCCCAGGAGCGAGGCAAGTCATCTGTCTTAGGCTGTGCATTGTCCCCACGCAGGCATTTCTCTCAAGGAGGACTCAGCCCATAAATCAGAGACAGAAAGTCTGTCTCCCAGGACTCCGAGGTGCAGCTGAGAGCATGAAGGAGCCATTGTCTGTGGCCCTGGGCTGTTAGGAGTATGCGATTACAAGCTGGAAAAAATGCAGCCCTTGCAGAGCCTCCCGAGCCTGAATTCTACAATGGCGATTAATTAGGGCAGCCAAAACCCAAAGTGGGGGAATAATGAACAAGTTTTCAGAATGAATGGAATTAATTTATAACGTATAGTAGGCAGTCTGCCCAATTGCTGTGCCCTTTGGACAAGTAAAGTAATTAAGAGTCTGCATATTCTATTAACTCCATGTGAATTTCTTCAACTTATTTCTATAATGTTTTCTTGTGGCATTACATACTGTATATGCTTTTTAATTTGACAAATAAAAATCTAGTAAGTATACTAGAGGCTCACTGACACAAAAAAGTGGAGCTAAGTAATAAAGTATAAGTGTGACTTCTAGTTTTAAAAACTCTCAAACACAGTTTGAGTGTTGTAATGAACAACCTCATTTTCTGTGAAAAGAGCCAACAGAAGAGGTTCTGGTGTCATATTGAAACACTTGTCATCTTTAAGGTGTGACACTATATGATCTGAAAATTTTTTCTCCAAAAATGACATGTTTACTAAAAACTGAGAACACAACCTTGAATATAGAAAATGATCAATAGAAAATATTTATGAATAAGGTGAACGATAAAGCACAATATTTAATTTTACCATTTACCCTCTTGCTTAGGATGCATATAAATTATACAGAATCTGGATACAGGTTATCAACAATAATAGAGTATATCCGCCAAGTGAGAACATTTTGCAGAGGTAAAATGACCTGGCCTGTATTTTATGAGTTCAAACACTTTCTTATAATAAACATTTCTGTCATATTGTCTGGTTATTTTTAAAAATCCAACTATGCACTGTAAAATCACAACATAAGTGCAAATAATTCATAATATAGGAAAAAGTTTTGACGTTTCTTTAAGTGTGGCTGCTGTGTATGATGTGCCTTAAAAAATACTGTGGGCCATCCTTTAGTAGTCTTTACACTCGCCCGAGTAAAACTTTTGCATACCCCTTTTGACCTAAGTTGCTTTCTGTCTTTAAATATGTCACTACTGTCATCATTAATCATGTAATTGAGAGAAAAAATTGAGTGCTCATTTCTCTTTTCATGGCCTTCTCTTGCATCTTCTAAGTATGAATCAATTCATGGCATATGATAAACAGCTCCCATTCATACTGTATCATATTCCAATATTCTGCACACCTCTCAACGCGTCAGTTTGGTAAACTGTTTTGTCTCAGATTCAAAGTCCTATCCAGGCTTTGCCTGAATGATCTGAATAATTTATTTCATTTTATCTCTAACTATCTTCACCTCACTCATTCTGCTTCAGTCACAAGGACTTCCTTGACAGCAAAAGAGCCTGCCAAATAGAAGAGGTGGCTTTAGGGCCTTTGATCAAGCCTTTGTCTCTCTAGAAGGTCTGACCATTTACTGGATTCATCCCCCCATTCATTCATGTTTGTATTCAAAAATTTCCTTTTTAGAGAGACATTCCATCACTGCTCACTATAAATATGTCATCACCATTATTCATTTACTATCTTATTTTGCTTAAATTGCAACTATCACTGCAAAGCATTATACTAGATCTTAATTTAGTCATTTATTAAATCGATTATATACATCTCACAAATCCCCTGAACTGTACTAGGATTTTGGGATATAGTAGAAAAAAAAAACAGAATATTTCTCTGTCCTCATGAAGATTAATTTTTGCATGAAAAATTAAAAAAAGAAATAATGATATATTGGTCTCTTATAGAGACCAAAGATTGCAAAAAGAGAGTAGGAGTGTGAGCTGAGAGTGAAGTTTAAAATTATAATAAGTAGATAGTGAAAGTGACTTTTTAAAAAAGAATAGAAGTGGAAAATCAGTTAACTCTCATCACCTATAGGAAGAAAATTCACTGAAGAAGATAAAGTGCAAACTAAGAGTTGCAATGTTAGTTTTTTCTGAAATAGGAACTCATGATGTATAGAATAGAAATCTGGACAGTGAATCAAACAATGATGAAGAAAGGAAAGATAAGAACTATTCTGGATTATCTATTTTTACTCTCTATTTTCTAATATTGTAGGTTGAGCCCAAGGCTATATCCCTAATTCATTCTCTCTCTCTCTCTCTCTCTCTCTCTCTCTCTCTCTCTCTCTCTCTCTCTCTCTGTTTGCTAAATTGCTCAAGCTGTTCTCAAACTTGTAATTCTCTTGCCTTGCCCTCCCTTCCCAAAGTAGTTTAGGTTATAGGCTTATTCCACCATGACAGAATTTATTATCAACTGAAAATTTAGACTCAGAAACATTAGCATATTTGTC